AGCACTTTGGGAGGCCAAGGTGGGTGGATCACGAGGTCAGAAGATTCAGACCATCCTGGCTAATATGGTGAAACCCCATCTCTATTAAAAATACAAAAAATTAGCCGGGTGTGGTGGCACGCGCCTCTAGTCCCTGCTACTCGGGAGGCTGAGGCAGGAGAATCACTTGAAACTGGGAAGCAGAGGTTGCAGTAAGCCAAGATCATGCCACTGCATTCCAGCCTGGGAGACAGAGCAAGACAGAGCAAGAATATGTCTCATTCTCTTCAGTGAAAGCAATTCTTTGAGCAATTATTATTCCAGGCTTTGCAGTTATGCCTTGACTTAATTGCAAACAAATGCAGCCAGGTGCAGTAGCTCATGCCTATAATCCCAGTACTTCAGGGCAGACCTCTGGAGCTCAGAAGTTCAAGACCAGCCTGGGCAATGTGGTGAAACCCCATCTCTACAAAAAACAAAATAAAACAAAACAAAAAACTACAAATATTAGCCTGGAATGGTGGTGTGCACCTGTAAGTCCCAGCTACTTTAAGTCCTATCAACTGAGCCAAGGAGGTAGAGACTGCAGTGAGCAGAGATGGCACCACTACATTCTAGCTGAAGCCACAGAGACCCTGTTTCAGGCCAGGCAAAAAAAAAAAAAAAAAAAGAAAAGAAACCGCCCCCCCCCAAAACAAATGCCATAACAGCAGTGTAGACAAACAAATGATTATAATTTTTAGAGTAAGTAACATTTTTTTGTTATCAAGTTTCCCAAGATCTAAACCAGCTGTTTAGCCAATCTTTTATTTGGGTCTTTGTAACGGACATTAACTTAGTGATGTTATCCAATTTATCTGGGATATAGACACTTAGTTTTTGAGTCCAGGGGTCAGCCAGTTGAGATTTTTAGATGCTGGGCTTGAAGTTTTTTTTTTTTTTCTTTTTTGAGAAGGGTCTTGCTCTGTTACCTAGGCTAGAGTATAGTGGCATGATCAAAGCTCACTATAGTCTGAACTCCTGGACTCAAGCGATCCTCCTGCCTCACCCTCCCAAGACACCTGGGACTACAGGTGCATATCACCACACCTTACTAATATTCTTTGTAAAATTTTTTTGTAGACACTAAAAAGCAGTCTGGCTGGGCCAGGGTCTAAGGTTTCTGTCTCACTAAGGGACAATGCAGGGGCTTCGGGACAAGAACACCACAAGCAGAAACCTCCAGGGATCTGCCTACCTCCTTCTTTTCCTCCTCCTCAGGCTGGGGACAGCCATGTCCCCTGCCAGTGCTGACAGGGTCAGCCCTGCACCTTAGTGGAGCAGAGCACAGCACAGTTTACCGAGGCTGAGCTGGGCCAGACAACAGCTAAGCAGCTGAGTTACTGTTTAATGGGTATAGTTTGGGAAGATAGGAAAGTTCAGGAGATGGTGGTGGTGATGATTAACAAAGTGAAGGTGAAGGTACATAATGCCACCGAACTTAAAAATAGTCAATTTTACGAATTTTATGTTATGTATATTTTACCCCATCACCACTACCACCTCCGCTGCCACCATATGCGTGCGCGCGCACACGCACGCGCGCACACACACACACACACACACGCAGGCAAGCTGACTCTCCATATCTGTGAGTTCCACATCCATGGTTTCAATCACACAACAAAAAATATTTGGAAAAAAAGGATGGTTTTGTCCGTATTGAACATGTACCAACTTTATTTCTTGTGATTATTCCCTAAACTATACAGTGTAACAACTACTTACACAGTATTTACATTGTATTAGGTATAATCCAGAGATGGGACCAGGTGTGGTGGTTCACGCCTGTAATCCCTGCACTTTGGGAGGCAAAGGCGGGTGGATCCCCTGAGCTCAGGACTTGGAGACCAGCCTGCAGAACATGGTGAAACCCCATCTCTTAAGAAAATAAATAAATAAAAA